AGACATTCCTCAGCAGGACCAGTGTAGAAGTCCAACACGGCTACCCCGCGTATAAAACATGTTAAGCTACTTACTTGCACTTCTGATAGTATATATCTATATACATCAGATTATTGAAGCCATAGTGGAAATTTGGTTTACTGAAATGTATGTGAAACATGGTTAACACAGTTCTTATGCTGCGATTCAGTATTTGGCTTTGGAAGGGACATGATCAAACTGTACCTGATCAACAGATCTCAGAGAAAAACACATTTGTAATGGCATTAGGACCATCCTAAATTAACATTTGTTTAATTACAGTCCTCCAGTTAGCCCTGTTTGTCAGTGCTGAATAAAGGCTGCACAAACCAGTCCTGACACCTGCTATGTGAAATAAAGACTCAGTGAATCAAAACTGTTACCGTGTTTCAGTTCATCTCAATGGGGACAATAAAACAACTGAAATGTGCCTGCGACTGAGGCTGTGCAGAGGGCAAGCCGGTATCTAACAGCTTACAGAAGGCTCATGCTGACGTAACATTTCAGGGCTGCCAAAAGTTAGACTTAAAGAGACACAGTGAAATTGTGTGTGATCATGTAGACACTGGGGCTGAAAATAGTATACTCATTTACTGCTACCAAAGCAAGAAGCGGCTGACCGGTGAAAAATGTCAGCATTAAAGAAAAAGTAAAACAAAAAACACAATTTTAATTGGGAAATTGTCTATTCAGGTAATCGGTATTGATCTCAAGTGAAGTTTTCTTTTATTTAGAATGCTGGACAAAAATTGAATTCAGTTAAGTTTAATTGTACAGTGACATATTCCCACCACAGGTCATGCTGAAGCACTTAAAAATATCAATAAAAGGACCATATTAGTGTGTTTGCAAATCAAATAAAGGATTCTCCAATCACAAAGTATGTTTTAAAAAGTCTAGAAGAATTCTAGTAGAAAATTATAGTACATGTTTGAAGTGTACCATTAAACCGTCATGCTGAGGGCAACAGAAGACCTGATGCTGCAAGGAGAGAGTGAACGCCTGGTAGCCACAACCTTAAATAATAAACCCCTTTTCACTTATTAACTGAAAACAATACAATGTATACAGAAGTTATGTACCACTGTCGATAACTGCATTAACTACATGTAAGGAATGTGCAATGTAATCCATTTATAAATGAATAATTCATGTAATCCTTGAGTAATTTTTTTAAAATCCAATATCCTTTACAGTCTGCAGCTGTGCATGAAAAACACATTTCAAAAGCGAGCGTTTTATTTTCAACATTCTGAACACGATGCATCCAGGATTCAGACACATGTTCTCACCAAGGGAATTTTTTTTTCTGTCTCTCTTTGTCATGTCTGCAATAGTTTATTTTTCAGCAGGAAACCACATTTAGAGCAAGGATAAGTGCAACATGACACTCACACACACACACACAAACAAAAACAGAGCCTGACATACTCACACTGGCTGACCTTGATATGTGTGTTTGTGTTGGTATGTAATACGTTTTTTGATTTTGGAACCGAATGCTGAGAAGAAGCAGATTGCAGCGACAGCATAGAATAGAATAGAATAGAATAGAATAGAATAGAATAGATCTTGATTGTTCACCCCGGTAGAAAAATACCTTTGGCTCATTAGCATAAAATGTGAAGTTAAAAGAATTTTAAAAAGACACACAGACAGAAGTCTTTGTACTTCTATACAAACTGAGGACTTTTTGTTGAGTTCCATTCATTTTAGTCATTGCATAAATTTCTAACACAGACACTTTTCCTGACCGTAACCATTACTTGTCCATAATCTTATGCAAAACTTAATTCATACCAATCCTCTAAAACTAACTTGCATAGTCATATAAATTATGTTTTTATGTTGTGTGGACATGGAAAATGGCCTCATAACTTCAAATGTTCTCACAATGTTGGTTGTTTCCTAAGAGTAAGTCTTTACAACATACCTCAACAAGTACTCACACACACACACACACACGCATGCACGCACGCGCACACACACAGCCTCTATCGCGTTAGAGTTGCTGCCTGATGTCTGAGAACTAAAGCTTCCTAGAAGGTTTTATCAACACTGCAGTGACAGAGTGACTTGTTTACTTTCTGACTCCAACCAGACATGATATACTACCATCAGCATGCAAAACAAGTTCGAAAAGCATAAGACTCTGTAAATGAATTTTCTAGAGTCTTCACTGTTGCTGCAGAACAGGTCAGTCTACCACCGGCAGCTAAACAGCAGCATGTCATTTTTTTAATTTACTCTAAACCGAGCGGATAATTATTATTTCAAATGAGGTCTGTTTGGTTAGCATAGCTGTTTACTCTTGACTAAATGAAAAATCATTTGAAAATTACTTTTTGAGCTAAAAAAAAACAACAAAAAAACAATAGCAATCAGTAAGCAGGCAAAATACTTTTTGACAGCATTTCACAGAAACCATAATTCACAGTTGGGATCGTTTGCAGACGCCATTTCAGATCAGTTCAAGAAGTCTTTATAAATAGAAAACTTTTATTGCCATTGCACTGAAATAGCACATCAAAATTAGTAATGCAACTTGAAAGTACGAGGTAAGACGTTCACATTGAGAGCAGAATTCACAGTCGGGATGGTATTCTCAGGGTAGCATGCTTCCCTGATTTTTTTTATCCAAATGTAACATTGATCCTTATGACCAAACAGTTGCACTTTAGTTTCATCAGACAGAAGAAAAATATGCATTCTGGCTTCTTTATGCTTCTTGTGGAGGAATGTCTTCCTCTTGCAGAGTAGTACATTCTTCGTTCTCTTATTACTGTGCCATTTAGCAAATAGAAATAATTAAATTAATTCTAAGTTTGGTCTGATTATTAAAAAACAAGATTTTTTTTCTTGTTGCTTCCAGTGAGCAAATTTATTTTTCGAAAAGGAAATGCAGCTATTGAGAAAAAAAAAAAAAAGTTTTATGTGCCTTTATATTCAGGCACACAAAAGTTATAAAAACATTTGGTTTCAAATGTATGTGTTGAAACATGAGACATTAAGGGTCAATGTAAATTAGAAAACATGGGAAATATCCTGGTTTTCTTTTTTTTTTACTCTTAGGGTGGTCTTCCTTGTTTACTTGTACAAAAATATATTTATTTCTATTGAGCCAGTGGAAGAAACCTGCATGTCTGTATTTGAAACAAGGAAAACAAAAACAAAAGAAACTGAATCCATCTCCTGCTCTGATAAACAGCAGACGCTCAGATAAGGCACAGGACACGGCGTGCATGAATGTGAACTGACGGAGCCATGGAAGTAAAAACTGAAAAAACAACATGCGTCGTGGTCAGGAGTGTACATCTCTGGATCCGCCATACATGGAGGCATAAATCAATCTTAAGGCGACATTTTCTACTGGCATTCGATATTGTTATGAGCGGTGTGTCATCAGTGAGCACTGAGTTTCCACATCACAGGTGCACAGCAGAGAGAAGCGGTTGAAACAGAGACACAGCTGATGGCCAGTTTGTGTCTGTGATGTCTTAGAGAAAACCTTTAAGACATCATTCTTAGTCTTTGTCATTCTTAAGAATGAAAACGTTGCTCAGAGTCTGGTCACAAGGCTAAATTAGTTGGTTTGTTAAAAGTTTTTCTGTATTAGTCACTTCATATCAATGATAGCAAAGGAGTAATTACATAATTCCATTAAAAAATATTTGTATGTTTCCTCTGATGTTACGACACAGAAAAATCAGGGTTGATCTGAGTCTGTACTTAACATTGAACACTTTCTAAATAACTTATTTACTTCCACCTGGTGGTCAAAATAACAGCAGGACTGTGACTGTTTCCTACAGGAGAAATAAAAGATCTCAAGCAAGCATGTCACAGGGATTCTTTAGAGTATTTTTTCTTAGTTATTTTGTCCTGTCAATATTTTTCATCAAGTAAAATCATATTCTTATTGCCATCAGTCTTTATCCAGCTGGACCAAAATTAATCATTGGAACATAACAAGCATTTACCTTTATCTCTTGATGTTTTAGCCTTTTCATTGCTTTCCCAAATCAATCCAGATAAACCAAATATGGCTTAAAAAAATAAATAAATAAAAGAAGTACAAAAAAACTCTTTATTGTCAAAGTGAAAACTGATTTGTACTAAATAATGACAATGAAATAAAACAATGAATCATAAAATAAGTGCTTGTGTAAATACTAACATCACTGCCAATCAGCATTCAGAAGATGGACCTTTGGCTGCAGTCACAACAGCAAGTCTGTGTTGATTGTTCTCAATCAGGGTGTGCATCTGGACTGCAGACTTTCTGCTAAAATATTCAGACTCTGTCAGGTTAGATGAGGATTGTGTAGCCCAGCCACATATTCCCTATGAGACTGTGTTCTGGGCTTTGACTGGGCCAATCCCGAACATCCATTTTGTTATCTTCAAACCTTTTCATGACTTCTTTTTAGTAAAGTAAAAGTCATGAAGTAACTTTTTTTCCTGACTTACATCGACACTAACTCTAGCATATTTAGTATTGATCTCCTGCATATTTTGTATTGTAATATTAGTAGTAATATGTGCAGTATTTACAGATTTTCTGTGGAACGTACCTCCCAACTCTACCAGACTTCTCTGCAGAGCATGTGAAAAATATTGAAAGAAACGTAGCTTAGCTGAAATAAGCACAATTAAGCTTCACACACTACCAACTGGTGTTTGCAAAGCAACACCAGGAGTGCGATTCACTTTTCTGGCCCTGACTGACTCAAGTTCGAAGATAAACAAGATCTTGAATGATACGTTTCGCCCTACTGCTAAGAAGTTTTTTCATTGTGTTTATTAATACGTTTTAAAATATATTCTTTGTTTGCATTACTAAAAAAGGCAGTTGTTTTAGAGCGGTATTGCTTTAGTCACTAACATTCACACCAGTCTTCAGAAGGTAAGTGATCGTGGCACAAAAAATATGAACAAATAATCAAACTGACAGAAAAAAAATGTCAGACGCAATGTCGTGCTGTTCAAATTTTGTAATTATAAAAACAGTTCACATTTTTGAGTCATTCAATAAAAAAAATTAAATTCACAGCTTCCATTAATAACATACTCCACAAAACCAAATTAATATGCAGTTTAACAAAAGGGTTTTATACATTTGTTATTCTGAGCTAGGAGACAGAGAAAAGCACAGATAAAATGATTTACAGATGTAGGTGAAAATAATTGTTTGCCATCAGTTGAAATGTGTGAAGGTCACTCATAACATGAGGATCGAACATCATAACGATACAGATCAGCACAGTGGGTTGGATCTGACATCACAAACAGGAGAATGACAGCAAAGACGTTCAGTACTTTTAAAATTACACCGCTGATTAAAAATTTAAGTGCAAGATATCATGAATAAATTATTTGCATAAATATGTTGATACAAAATAAAGTACAACAGTTAATTTGCAAAGCTGCTTTGGCACGATCGGAGAGTTACAGTACTGAAATAATTAGGTCCAAATGTAAAATGCACTGTGGAATTTACGGTATGTTACCAATGTGAATAATCTTTTTCAGGTCTAACACATCATTCAGTCACCATGCAAAACAATTTCCTTTATGAACTAAAAGATGGATACCTTGGGATTACTCAAACTGGATTTTCATGTGTCTACCTGCCTACTTTTGGGTATTATATTTGATCGACTTTGGTTTCACTTAACCTATTGATGAAGAGTGATCTTTTTGAGTTTTTAAATGAGTGAGGCTGTGTCATATCAAATAACTAGACAGCCAAACACTGAAGCAAAGTCACATCATTCCATTTGGGTTCAGGTACATGAATGCAAATGTTTGCAGTTTGCTACAGATAACTTTTAAAAAATCGCTTGCAACTTTAACATGCTGAATGTTCAAGCTGAATTATTGTGAAGATGTTCTATTATCAGACATTGTCTTATGTTTGGCTAAACACATTTATTTAGAAAGTCACAGGAATCTGAATTTTTACTCATTTGGGTTCAGAAAATATTTTAGTTTTATTTAATTTGTTGCCTAGAAAAATCTTCATCTTGCTACAGAACCAAAAAGATAAGGCTATAGATTAAAAAATATGTAAATTTTTCCCATAACCTTTTAGTTCCTATATCTAAATAAATGCAGTTTACTGAAAGGAATCAGCTGTAGATGACAGTTTTTAAAAAATATATGCATGTTTTCATTTTATTTTAAATAACATCGACCAGCATGTTAATATGCCTGTTAGATTTTGGGTTCATTCTCTTCAGCCCAGACATTCATCTGCCACTGTATTCAGATCCATCAAAGAACCACTATAGGGTAAAGAGTGCCATCTAGTGGGACATTGTCAAATAAACTTAATCACAGAAAGTTACCACCTTTCATCCAGAGGTGTGGTATTAACGTCCCATATCTAACATAAACACATACAGAGCGCTTAAATTCATAGAATTATGCAAAGATAGTCAGGCTGCAGGCGATTCCAAATATTTGTAGCCTGAAGAATAAACCGTAGGCATATTTAGGTATTTCCATCCAGCCTTGGCAAGGCTATTCATACATGTTTTGAGACATGCTGTTCATTGTTAAATCACATATATTCTAACATTTATTACCTTATCACGATAAGCTATTGTTACAAAATATCAATTTGATGTTTGGGAATTTCTGGTGAAGTTTGATTAGTATTTTGTTGAATTTCTTGTTTAAATCCATCTTTTTGCTGTTGGTATTTCTCAACACACCATTGCACAATCTTTTTAAAACATGATTGCACTAAAGAGCACTGTCAACTGGTAAATAGAGCAACGTAGGATATGTTAACACAGCAGGCAGATGTGATCGAATCCGCTTGTTTTGCAAAGATGCGACTTTCATCCGACTTTTTGAAGGCAGTCTTAACTGGAAAGTTCAAATATTTTTACCTCACAAAAAATTATACTTGTGCCACTTCCCTATGTGGAACCATATCGCATACGAACCCGATTGTTTTCAAAGCATCTGCAGTCCAAACAGTCATGTTCACTTTTATGTCATTGATGAATGACAGGCGTCATAATTCTGCATCAGCAGAAGCCAAAATATCATTACCTTTGAATCCAACATCTCCTGTACAGTAGCTTTCAAAGGTATTCATGTGCTTCTCAAGGTGAAAATGCGTTTGTGCTATTCATCTGTGGTGATAATCGACGTGCACATCGACATACATTTGCTATCGAGAGACAGACCTCTTGAGCAGATTTCACAGATTAACTTAAGCAAAGAAACTCGAAGCCAGACATGGACAAAAAAAGGAAGTCATCGCATTGAAAAACCACTAAAATCTCTTCCAATATTTCCAAAAGCGAAAGTGCAAAGACTGACAAAGAAAAACGCTCACAACTACACAACTCGAATTTCTTTTAAGAGAATGACTGATACAAACGTTTGACTGAAGCCACACTGAATTAAAAGGCACATGGCAGCCTGTTGGGAGATTTCCAGAAACCTTCACACTGGAGGAAGACCCGGCTGTGCTCTCCAAGAACTACTTCTTGGAGAGCACACTCCAACAGCATCACTTCACAACAGCAGAGACTCTGTAGAACTGTGCTGTTAGCATTAAGCTAAGTGCTACAAGATAATGTGGTAACACTACCATTGTGATGAGGTTGGAGTTTGAATGAGACCAACATGGCAGCGCTGCCACAGCTGTTTTTATGCTCCACTACCCAGGCTCCCTTGATTCAAATGTTTTATGCATGACCAATACCTTTAGAAAACACTCAGACTCCATCATGCATAACGGGGAGCAAACTGTGTTTTTAATACCTTTTCATATATTGTGGATGGTCTCTCTTAACGAGACCATCCACAATCTAGTTGAATTTTCACATCCTTGAAATTTACTGTTCTCCCTGAAGGCACCCTAAGAGCATGGAAAGCTGAGATCCTTGATTTGCCTCAACAACACATCAATTGCTTCTGATGGATCCTAACCAACAAATATCCCCTGATGTTATCATCCCAAGAATGAAGCAAGGTGATGGCAGACGTTTGCTCTGGGGTTCCTTTGGGACACAGAGTTCATAGCAGAGGGCAGAATTGTCATAATCATTTGTAAAGATTCTTGAAGCTAAATTACCTCAGACTACGAATATAAACCGCTGGGACAAGAGACACTGTAGTGTAATGGTTCAACACACGAGGAGTGACAAACAACAGCGAAAGACAAAAGTTTCCGCCACTCGTGGCAAAACCCAACACATGGGACACAGTAGCGATGACTGCAAGAAAAGTTGAACATTATTATCTTTTTTGTGTCATGTCACAAGCTCATGTGTGCAGGTTCACACATATAAGCTCAAAAATTCCCATGAGCAAATTTTGCCATTAACTTGCCAGGAGAAAGGCAAGTTAATGGTGCCCTAAGCGCCATAGGAGATGAATGGAGAGGGAGTGATGTCATCTCCTTTGTGTCGAGGCCTCAACAGATTCCACACTCAAGACAGAGCTGGAGACAAGGCATGTCCAAGAATGCTCCTGAGTAGTAAGAGTCCATTAAAAGTTCAGAGTTAAACATAACAGATCATCAACAGAATCTTATGTTACCGACCAACTCAATCAGAGTGTGGCAGAATCTGCCAGGAAGACTGGAATCAGTTGTCAATATCCAGATGTGCGCAGTTTCTAGAGACATTTCCAAGATCAGACACTACGAACTAATTTTTTTTTTGTTTGTTTGTTAAACTGTCTAGCAGCCTTCAAAAAGGGACATTTTGCGTTAGCTAACTAGGAAAATGGTAAGAATATGAATTTTGCATTAAAATGTTGAAAGCATAATAGTGGCTCAATACTTCCTCTGATGTAAAGGTCGTTCAGGACTCTGCTTTACTTCTTGTGATAAGAAGAATATTTGGCTACATTTTCACTGGCCTTGAGGTTTCTTACAGCATCTTAAACATGGCTTTATCTGTTCTCAGAAGACCGATTGTATCTTCCAGTCAGTCACTGTAAAACAACAGACAAATAGGAGATTCCTTTTTTTTTTAATTCTTTCAAAACCGCAAAATGTTTCTGTGAAGAGTCTAATCGATCTTTGAAAGATGGTGTCAAGCTGGACATAGTCAAAATGATACACACACCATCGCAGCTGGACTTGAAGTTATTTAGCTGATCAGATTTGAGTTATTTTTAGAGATGAAACGTTAAGAGAAATAACGTTGTGAGGCTTTTGCTGAGTCAAACATACATGTCAGAAACACATGCAGTCAAAGCACGATTTCATTCTAGAAGAGCAGCATGTTAGAAGTGCTACACACCCTGTCTGGGTGTATGTGCATTTGTGCGTGAAGGCATCCTGGGTATTTTTTTTTTTTATCACACAAACAGAGACTCTGTATTTGGAATGGAGGGTCTAAGATGTCATAACCTGGCATGCAGGTTGATAATGACGCCATCTTCTGGCAGGTCTTTGATTGGCAGGTCGCTTGCGTGCTCCGTTCCCTGGTCCGTGCTCTCGCAGCTGGTTTGAGGAGACTCCGGAGGTGGCTGGTAGAGAACGCTGGCTATGAGGAAAAAGATGGTACCCAAAAGCTGAAACCGAATACAAGTGTTAATAACCATCTTTCAGCAAAACAATATCACACACACGACAAAAAACACACCTGCAGCATTTGAGAGATAGATCTCCTGGGTGCTATCTAAGAGCACCACTTTCTTTTTCTCCCAAATCATGACAAATTGAAGTGGACCTTCTTAATCAGAGGGAGTTACACACCAAACATTCCTTAATTTGCATTAATACATGCAGAAGAAGCCATCTTGTGGTACTGCAGAAGCTAACATCCACAGTCTTCCTTATCTCTGCTCTTGGGTTTGCATCCAATGAGTGCCAAGGAAAACGAATGGGGCTTCTGGATTGGCTGGTTTGCGAACGCTAGCCAATGGTTTATTGAGTAGGATTACGTCTCAGAATTTCACCCACAAAAAGGCACAGGTCCACTGTAATGTCTATCATTATCTTCCTTAAAATTATTATTATTTTTTTTATTAAAAGTTTGCCTAAATAATCTATATTTCATTGTAATCAATACAAGCAAGATTCCTTTTGAAAAAAAAAAAAAAAACAAAAAAACATTCACTTGTCAAAACTGAGCTGTCCTCATCTCCTCAAAAGTGTGAACACAATTTGACACAGAGACTCTGCAGCTGCTGTCCTCTCATGTAGAAGCTCACCTGAACTATGATGGCTGATGATCAGCACAGACAAATTGTGCTGGAAATGTAAATCGATTATACAATGGGAGGAATCCCTCCAGGACCATAGTGAGGAACTATTTTTTGTTCTGTGCCACTTGCTTTCATTTTTATCATCTTCAAAGTGAAATGGTGTCTGACTAGGAATATTACCTTGAAGATGATTCCAGCAACAAGTGTGTACTGACTCATGGCTGAGTTGTGATAGATGTAGCAGGAGCCTTGATCACCGCACTGGTCTTGCCACAATAAGCAGGAAATATCAATCACTGAGCCAAATGCAATCGGCCCTGGAATACTCCCTGTATGGAAAGCAGTGGAACAGGAGGAAGGAAGAATTACAGTTGTTTTGGTTGCAATTTTGAGACTTAAAGCATAATCAGAGAAAGACTTGGGCCTACCAAGTGTGCGCACCAATATCCACTGGATGCCAAGAGCAAACGATCTCTGACTATCTGGTACACACCTGTACAGAACAGGGTTGGACAGATATAAAGACAGACTTCAACTCAAAGTCTAGTCCATGGCTGACTGAGTAAAATTCTGCTTTTTGGAAACTCAAATCCAAGGTTGTGACTTTTAGGCTTAAACACTTGTAAACTATTCCCTTGAGTTTACTCCTAACTCGTTTTCTTAAGGGCTCAGCATGGCTGAACTGCTGCTCTCATGATGGTCACATCATTTTCGGATGTTCGCTTTTGCACAGACCCTTCACGGTGCACAAAGGGGTTTACTGCAGCGGGAGGGGTTTCACAGGAGTCAAGCTCCTGTAAATGTTTTACCATGTGTTTAGAGAGGGGACTGTTACAAGTTACCCAGGGGAGGTTTGACAAGCGAGGGCAGGTGACAAAATGACGTAATTTTCAACATGTACCTGCAACAATGAAAATTGATTTCAGCAGTTCGGCTTAACCACACAGAGCCCTTTAGTTTTCTCTAATGCCGCCTGATGCATTTACTACACACACCAGGATTTACACTGCAAGCTCTTTGCTGCCATCTAGTGTCAGAATTATGGCAAACTACATTTGCTTTTTATCTCATTTTCACTCTGATGATCTACATTTGTATTTATTGGCTGTGCTATATATCAAGTAATCCATTTCGACTCAATTTAGCATCTGCTTAACAAAACCATCCTTCTGTTGTCGTGACACATACCTGAGAGTGGCAGTGAGAGCTGGGATGCTACAGAGAAAGGTGAAACAGATGATGACGAAGAGCAAGGAGAGGAAGACTGGCATGTGGTGGCAGGTGCTGCTGCACTTCCCTGTCAGAGCGAAGCCCTCCTCACCCCACGAAACGTTCCCCACCACACAGCCACACCCAGAGTACACCTGAAACACCGACACAGGTATAGTGTTCATCACTGAGCTTTTTTTTTTAACGTTTGAATTTTGAAAATTTATTTATTTTTTTTCAATAAGGTTTTTTCTACATGTCTTTTATAAAAAATAATAAAAATCAGGTTCCTTATTGTTCCTGTGTTTCTCAAAATTAGGCTATGGGCAATTTAGTTAGAAACAAGTAACTGTGGAGTAATATTTTGCTAACTAAATATGACAACTGAGAAGTTCTATGAAAATGTGAAGTTAAATGTGTTGATCTGACTTCACATTTAACTAAATTTAAATAAATAAATTAACATTTGCATTTCCCCATATGTAGATTCTGTGGCAGAGCTTTGTGTTCTGTTTCAAAGAGCTCTCTTGCTCTTGGAAGGATTGCTACATGTCTTTAATAAATATGCAGATTCCTTATTGACCATGTTCCTTGTTCAAAAATGGGTTATGGGTAAATTTGTCAGAAATATGTCACTGTGGAGTACAATTTCTCTGACGTTAGAAAGTCAAAGCAAAACATATAACTTAAAAAATGAACATTGCCGTTTTTCCCCAGGTATAGCTGCTGACGAGCTCTCTTGCACACATTGGAAAGTTACAACTTCTTAGTCTTCTAATTAACTCTGCCACATCTGAATGTCTAAACACAATAGACATTCAGGAACCTGCAGATCATTCTGAACTGCCTCAGCTATCGCCCGGGTCATGTTCTTCCAGTCTTACTGAAGTAAAACAAGCAGTGTGTGCTGTACCTGTCTGCCTGTGGACGGTTGTGTGTGGTTGATGGAGGTGCAGCCGGCGTGGCACGGTGAGTAATACATCACCCCGTCCGCCCCACACACTGGGTTGTACACTTCTCTGGCACAGTTACAAGCTGCATTACAACTCACTGTGAGGTTCATGTCCAGAGAAGAGCTGCAGAGAGAAGCAAAGGAAGAAAGACAAGAAGAGAAAGTCAGTGAGAAACAGGTGGAAGCAGGGGCCCAAAGAAGGAATTTGGTCTGTTTCAATTTGGCTAGCACCACTTTGTTATGTGATGTATTTTTAGCCATTGGCTAGTGGTTAAGAGGAGAATAAATGAGGCGTAGCATCTTAAAATGATGCATACTGGATTCTCTGAACACACTCTGATATTAGCGTAACATCATGTATCAGTATTGACATTTCATGTACACACTTACTGTACTTCTGCTCAAATAGGAGCAGCACTACTTCGACATATTTTGCTTAAACACAAGTAAAAACCAACTATCAATGAAATTACTCCATAGTAAATAAATGTCACAGGTCAACATGCCACTGAATTAAAAGGATTTCCTGTATGTGGGTCTGAAAAAGATATAAATAATAACCCTATGTATCTAATGCTGGCTACATCCTTTAGCTTCTTTAATGAAGTACATTGTTTTACCTGATTTACTTGTTTTGTTATTTTTATATATAATGTCAGACTCACTCAAATAAGCTTGATAAAAATAAACAGTCTTTCTCTAGAAGACTCCGGAAATGTCATTTTAAACTTATAGTTACTTCTCCATTTCATTGTTCTACAGCCTTTGCTTTAAATGCAACAAACTCTGACTCCTCCTCACTTATTCCTTTTGATTGCACCACAACACAGACATCTTTGCTGCTTTACTGGCTGTGACCTTGCTTTCCTTTGAAATTAATGAAACAATAACTCCTTGGGTTACTTCTTATCGGGTTGTTCTTTCATACATGGTGGGCTCTGTTCTCAAAGCTTAATGCATTATTCCTCTTAAACTGAAACACAATAAAGTCAGATTAAACTTTTATATAAGGCATATGGAGAGCTGCTGTTACAACAGATCAACTGATGAACATATTTATGTAGCTTTAATATGTTATTAATTGTTAGATGCAAACTTCACTGTTTTTGGTTAATTGGTCTGCCAATTAGGATTTTGACTGATTTAACATTTTCTTCCAGAGGACAACAAATTCATACAGTACATTTATGTATATTTCTCAAAATTTAAGAAAAGAAGGTGACCCTAACCCTAAAAAGTACTTCATTACAACATAGCACACTATAGGTCATTAACATTTCAGGGATTTATTAATGTAATGAATGAAATGAAATACATGAAATGAAAATAATGAAATTAATTTAGAATGTATGATTATTCAGAATAATGGAGATGGTAGCTTACGAAAACCATCTTGTAATTACATAAAACAGTGATAACAGAGGACAGGTGTAAGGATGCTAAACTTCCAGCTAGAGCCAAGCTGAAGGACATATAGAACTGATTTCAGCCCAATATGGACACCTGGAACAAATCAAAATTCCAGTCTTGTTGCTTTTTACCTACCAGATGTAAAGAGAATAATCCCCACCTGTTTCTGAGTCGCGGTTTCTTGGGTTTGTCATACAGATGTTTGTAGTGGTCCAGTTGGTCCTGCCCCATCAGCCCCAACTGATAAGGGGCCGTGACCCCAGCCATGGGCACGTTGGGGCAGTGGACGAGGAAGATGAAGATGGCGAGCAGACTGACCAGAGCACACATCATGCAGAAGCGTATGATGCCTCTGCAACGCAAGTTCAGCCTCTTCACGATGTAGCCGCCTGTAAAAGTACCACCGCCCCCTGCTGGTACCACCATGTATCCTTAAGAGGCACAGAAAAAAAACATAGACAGAAATAAAAAAAAAATAAATAAAAAAAAACATAGTTCGGCTTAGAGGTAAATTCACTTTTGAATAAAAAAAAACACAGTAAGCTGTGGCATCAACTTATTTTAAAGTTATAGGAAATATTAATGGTCAGTAGTGAGTGCTGACAATTTTGACTGGTCCTTTAAAGGTTTTATCAAAGATATGAAACATTATGAGTATTACAGTATATAGTTAGCTTTTGCCCTAGTTAGGGTTGGACAGGGAGAAAGTGATAGTTCAGATGAGAAGATGTAGACAAAGAAAGAGAAGAAGACAATGAACAGAGTCTCCTTAGAGTGTACAGTGAAACCAGGACCGGGAACAGAGACAAAGGACGAAGTAAAAGAAAGAAACAAAACTGAAAGAAGGCATCAAGTCCACTTTTTGGTAAGAACAGTGCACAGAAATACAATCTGAAATCTGATTCCTGTTTCTCACTGGCTGAGAGACAAAAAAAAAAAGAGAGAGAGAGAGAGAGAGAGAAAAAGAGAGAGAAAGAGAGATAGTGGCACATATTTTAAAACTCTTTCCACATCTTTTTCGCATATTAACTGGCATTTATCCTATAAAAATCCAGCTTTTAAACAAGCAAATGTGTTAGAAGGAAAAAATAAAAAAAAAATGCAATAACCCGATTGCATGGTTATGCACACCTTCAAACTGATACTTTATTGAAGCACCTATTGCTTTCAGTTTTCTTTGGTAAATGCCTGTGAGCATCCAACATTTTGATTGTACCTCATAAAGGTTCCCCTGTGAGGATATCTCTTCTGTGAGATGTTGTTATGAACTCTGGCTACATTTGCCTTGTTGCAGTTGCATTGTTGCCTTGCAGCAAGAATGTCTTGGGTCCTTCCATACAGTTTGCTCCATATGTGCAAACTGTACGGAGATTGGATGTTCTCCCTGTGCATGCGAGGTTTCTACTCTGGATTCCTCTGACAGTCAAAAAACATGATTAGCTATGTTTCCATCCAACTGCTCTGGAAATTTTGAGCACTCTTTTAAAATGCTTCAAAAGAGGAAATGCAAATCAGGCATGTTTCCATTTACTGCGGTGAAGCCAATCAACCAGGCTGTGCAAAACCTTCACTAGATGTTGATGCTACTCATGACTGTAATAAACAAGATGCAGGCATCTTGTTTAAACATCTCGGAAAAAATGGAAAGAGTCCTCTCCGCCAATCTCCAAAGTTTTTGTCACCAGCTGCAAAGTGCTGCTTGGATGTAATATTGGGTAGGATGAAGCTCACAGGGAGTGCTGGATTTTGTGCAATGGCAACAGAAAAAGGTGCCAGGAAAATGTTTGTTGATTGTACATTATCGTCACAGTTTTCGATCACGGTATTGTAATTACATATTTTCCTGATATTGTGCAACTCCAGTACTGAGGAAGACTGAATGCTGGGTCAACATTAAATGGTAGTCTCAGAAGGTTCACTTGTGCAACCAGGATATTGCTGTTTTGCTTTATTGCATTAATTCCAACAACAATAATACATGGGAAAAAGCTAGCACTTTGAAATAGTTGCATTGTACATTACATTACCAAGTTGTCTCTTAAAACTTGGTAATATTTTAAGAGACATTACCACATAAATTGTCTATATGTTAAATGTTCAGCATTTTTTTCCCTCTGCATGACCCTGTAGAAAAAGATTAAATAGATGTTCAGTCCTGTCTGCAACCCTCCTTGCTCGGTCACCTACCGAACAAGGTGGCAGCTTCAGATGCACTGAGACTGAACTGGGACTCCAAGAACTTTGGTCCAAAGGTGGACATGCCTGCGATCAGCGTGGCCTCAGTGGCTCCCGCTAAACACAGGAAGAGGAAAGTAGGGTTCTTCAAGAGAAGCAGCACAGATCTGAAACAAGTTAGAGAAGATCGTCAGTATGTGTATTCTCTTTGTGGGTAAATAAGCCTGAGCTTTATTTTTTTTAATTAAAACAGTCCGCAGTAATCTCCCCAGGGTGTAGACAGATAATCACTGCACTGGACCTAAAGATAAATAATCACGTTACGTAATGTTTTGGGTAATCCTCGCAAATCCCGAAAGAGACTCGGTCAGAGATGACGTCATTCTACGGGCTTATAGTAAGCACTGTTGTAACCTAAAGAGTCAGAAGTGTCACTCACCTGCGACGCTCTGCTCTAATGACTGCTATGTTTCAGCTAGTTGCAACATTTTGATAAGAACCTACTCATTCTTACATAAATGTTTGGAGTTTATATGTAGGACTGATAAACTTTCACACAGATTTGTCATTTACTTGAGAAAATATTAGAGTGTGAAGTACATCTTTCAAACTGTAATAATTCAAACAGTTTCCACCTGCAGTAAAAGGAACCTGTCACTATCAATCTCTTATTTCAGGGGTTTATGCATCAGGACTAAACAAAAGAGATCTTGTTTTTAGAAGGTGCTGGGAGTGTTTCGAACCTTAAATGCACAAAAATGCATAACATTTCAAAACTGTTATGTATTAAACATATCATAAATGAGGGGAAAAAAAGCCATGGGAAGAAAAACAAAGCGTAACCTGGCAACAGAGGGAGAGTAACATCAGCATGATCAAAAGAAGTTAAAACATACATGCTTACATACAACATACA